CGCCCCTACCGACAAGCGGCTTGTCCCCGCTCACCGCCTCCAACACCCTCGCGCGCCACCCATCCTCCACCGCCGCCGTCAACAAATACGTCGCCAGCTGCTGCGCGCGCGCCCCTAGCGCCTCTAATGCACCCCGGTCCAAAGTGGACGCCGCGGCATCGAAAACGGCACTCCGCGCGCCGGGCACAGCAAGCACATCCTCCGCCGCAAGTGCCAGCGCGAGCACATGTCTCAGAGCCCACACATTCGTCTTCGCAGCGCGGCGGTCGCCCGCGAGCGCGTGCAGCAGGCCGGCGACGATGCGCGCGTAGGCGGTGTACCCGCGCGCGTCGTGTGCCAGAGCGCGTTTGTGCGCGGTAAGCGCGGATGCGGGCGGGAGATGTGGGTGTAGGACTACGAGGCTCGCGGCGGGCGGGTCTGCGGGCAGCGCGTCCAGCATGGCGTCGAGCGCGGCCTTGCTGGGGAACACGCCTGTGACAACGTCGAGCGGCACGCCGAGCGTGCCTTCTGCGAGCGCGTCGAGCACGTCTTCAGGTCTGTCCGAGCGCCAATCAGCACCATGGTAAAGCGAGAGGAAGAAAACACTCACGTAACACACACATCCGTACTACACACCAACACACCCAACCACCTCTTCACCTCCTCCACCACCTCCACATACACAGCACTGTCAAGCGCGCCCTCCTCCCGCGACTGCAACCATATATTCCTCGCCACACCCACCGCGTCCGCCTCCTCGCGCTCCTCGCGCTCCTCCATCGACCCAGCACGCGGCAACACATATCCAAACACCCACACCGCCGGCATCAGCGCGCGCGCGTCCGCGGCGTCGGGCCGGCCCGCAAGCACACCCGCGAGCAGCTGCAGCTCCGCGTCAAAGGCGCTAAGCGGTGTTGGGGCGGATGAGGGGGCAGCGAGCGCGGTTTCGACGCGGGCGGCAAATGCGCTGACGACGCGCGCGATGGCGGCGTGCCATGCAGTGGGGGACAGGAAGAGCTCGCCGCGCTGCAAGACCTGTGCGAGGAGCGGCGCGGGTACGAGCGTCGGTGCGGCGGTGGCTACGGTGAAGAGCGCGTCGAGCGCACCTACGCCTGCCGAACTAGTGCTGGATGAATCCACCGCAGTCAACCCCTCCACCGCCCTTCCCGCCTCCCCGCTTACCAACACCCCCAGCGCTTCCGCCGCCGCCTCGGGGTGCTCTGCCACGTCTCCGAGCAGCGCGCGCCACAGCTGTTGCCTCTTCTCGACGCGGTGCGCGAGGTACGCGAGGAGCAGACCGGGAGCGGTAAGCAGGAGCGCGTACGCGCGGCGTGTGAGTAGCGAGTCGAGGGCCTGCGAAGTGCGAAGATAAAAACAAAACAAAGTAATTAGCACGACTCGAAGGCTCACGACGAAGAGAGTGAAACAAAAACGCACCTCGCCCACCGCACCCCAAACACCCACCCCACCGCCAAACGCTTCCAACGCACGCACAAGCAGCGGCCCGTCCTCCCTCTCCACCGCGCCGCGCAGCACGTCCGCGCGCAGGGCCGTACCGAAGGCGCGGATGCGCGCGGCGGCGAGCGGGGGTGGGAGCTTTGTGCGGGGGTCCGTCTCTCCGACTCCGACTCCTTCCACACCGGCCGCTTCATTCGTAGGACCACTTGCACCCTCACCCACGAGTGCCTCCAGCACAGCGCAAACGAGCGCGGGCGGCCCGCCCACGCGCACGCACGCACCGAGAGTGGAGAGGGCTGCGGCGAGGAGGTCTGTGGGAGTGTGGTTAGCGTGAGCGTCAGGGGGAGAAAGAAAAGGGCGAGAAGCATCCGTCTCTTTATTCGAGGACGAGGATGAGGAAGAGGGGGAAATGGGAAACGAGAATGCTCAGCTCCCTCAAACCACCAAATCGGAAAAAAAAAAGAAGACGAAAACAAGAACTAACTCACCACCCCCCACACCCCCCGCCGCACCCAACGCCCCGCGCACAATCCCCGCCGCGCGCCGCACGTCGACGTGCAGGCGCGGTTTCGTGTTAGGTTCCGGTTTCGTGTTTTGGTTTTGCTGTTCCCCTCTCACATCCACATCCACATCCACATCCACATCCACATCCACTTTCTCCTCTTTCGCTATCGTCTTCGTCTCCGTACCCAAAGAGGCGTCGTCAGGCACCCTCCCCCCAAGCGCAACCCACACCCTTGCAACCTCCCGCGCGAAGAGGCGCGTGTCGTCTTCTTCTCCCTCTCCTTCTTCTCTATCCGCTCCCGTTCCCGTACCCTCTTTGCCCAACCGCGCGCGCTCACCCCTCCCCCTCCTCACAACAAACACCGCACACTCCATCAGCGCGCCCAAAAACGCCGCGCCCGCGCGGGCGCGCGCGGCGGGGAGGGAGGTGGTCAGCGCTGGGGCTGGTTTGTCGGCGTCAAGAGCGTCAAAGGAAGTGGAAGTGGAGGAGGAGGAAGAGAAGGAGGAGGGAAGGCAAGGCACCCCGCCGAGCGCGGCCCAAAACGCGTCAAAGAGCGAGTCGAGGGGAGTGAGGATCTAGTGTGCGGAAGAAGTAAGGATTAGTAAATCATATATAGAGAGGGAGGGGGAGGAAGAGAGAGAAAGGGAGGGAGGAAGAGATACGCACCTCCCACGGAACGCTCCCAACTACCACCACCACCGCTGCGTACCCCGACTCTAGCGCTGCTCCTCCGCCGCCGCCGCCGGTTACAGTATTATCCGCGTCTCCCCCACACGCCCGCGCGAGGAAGCGGACTGTCAGCGTCGTTGCGAGTAATTAAGTGCGTCGTGAAATAAGAGGGCAAAAAAACACGCACGGAACGCTCCATATCCCCCCTCCCTCGGTGCGAGCGCCCATGTGCGCGGGTTGGCTGTATACAAAATAAAATTGGTATCAGTACAAATTCTCTTCTCGTTATCGATCGGTACAGAGGAAAGAAACGGCGGGAGAAGGTAGCAGGGAAAGTCGAAAGCCGAAAGAAAGAAAACCTCGTATAAGCAGAAAAATCCAACGTACCCCTCGAGACCCTCAACACCCCACCCCACACCACGCGCTGCACCCCGCCGTCGGGCTCGCCCCACGCCGCGGGCAGGGCCGTGTGTGCGAGCGTCAGGGCGAGCGCGGCCGGGAGCGTGCCGGTTTTCTCTTTCTCTTTACTCGCGTTTGTAGCGTCCTGTGCGTTGTTGTCGTTTAAAGGAGACGTTGGGGCGGAAGAAACCCGCGCTGCAATTACGCCCAACAACGCCCACGCCGCGCGCCGGAGCGCAGGCTGGGCGCGGCCCAGGGGGAGGGTGTCGTTTTCTTGCGCCTCCTCGCCCGCTTCTGTGCCTTCTGATTCCCTCCTCGCGTCTTCCCCACCGGAGGCAGCAGCAAAAGAGGGAATGGGCGCCGCCTCGATCTCGGCGCGCAGGTACGCCGTGTAGGCGTCATCGGGGAGGGCGGGGAGGTGGGTCTCTATGCCGGTGGAGGTGTGAGAATGCTGCAGCGCAGACCAAAGCGCAGGAGAGGCGACGAAGGGCGGGAGGGGTGTTGTGGTCGATTCTATGATTTCACCATTAGCATTTATTTTAGAAAAAGAGCGGACTAGACAGGGACGCACCCAAAATCGCCCTCAGGGCTCCCAACCCAGCAATGCGCAGCCTCGCACGGCGGTCGAACGCGCTCTCGTCCGCCTCGTCGCCTTTGCTGCGCGGCGGTGGGGCGGGTTGCGGCGCCACGCCCGTCGGTCGTTTCCCCTTCACGTCGGGCACCACGATGACAGGGGCAGGCGGACTGAGCTCATCGTACAGCGCATCCGGCGCGAGGAGCACGCGCTCGAGGAACGCGAGCATGTTGTCTTCATTTAGTCGATCAGTCGGACGAGCAGCGGCAGCCACCGCGCGCTCCGGATCGTGCGCCGCAAGTGCCCACACACATCCCACTACATCCGGCGCCTCCTCGGTAAGCAGCGGGCGCAGCAACGTTGCCGCAAGCAGCGTCTGGTGGATCTGCGCCGTGAGCAGCCGCACCCTTCTTGCAGGGTGCACTAAATGCGCGGGGAGATGGTGCGTCCACACCGGCACCATGTCCCGCAGAGCATACAGCGCCACGCCGTCCTCGTCCCTCATCTTTGTAATCCATCCGGAATGCAGCTCCTCGAGGGCGCGTATCTTGGTCACGGGCGCCTTCTTGCCGAGGCTGCGGAGAACAACGAGGAGGGCGGGTGGGAGGCGGTGGGCGAGCCCGGGGATGGCATCGAGCGGGTCGGGGTGCGCCGCGGTGGGCTTGACGGGCGCGATGTATACTTTGGGGCGCGGCGGGTCTGATCGATGTTTCTTTCCCTTCTTTTCGCCGCGTTGGGGGGCGGGGGCTCGGTGGCCGTGGGCCCGGCTGCTTTGCGGGCGTGTTTCTTCCGCGTCCCAGACGATGCCGACGACGACTTGGGAGCCATTGCAAGAGAGTCAGAAATGCGGCACGTGATTGCGCATCCGCGGCCGATTCGCTTTGACATCGATCGCCAATCAAGTCAACTTTAACCGTTGGTTCAACCAAGGTTCAACTTGGTGGTTTTTTCTTCGTCCAGAACATTGGTTTGACTTGCGTGTCTTCTGGGGACATACTGCATCCCTGACCCTGCCATGAACAGCTGATCGATCTGAAAGCACAGATGGTTAGTGTGTCTGTTGATCATGTCCATATTGTATAAGCAGAAGATCTCGGCTCAAATCGAACTCAGATCCGGAGGTCATGGCTCATAGCTCTCGAATGGTTTTTCATCATTTTTGCAGAATCAAATTTCTCAAATTTCTCAGATCGTTAATCGCACTGGGTACTCAATATATCGTTCAATTAGCATCAACGAACTGATAGCACAGTCCGTTAGTAATCATGTTGTGAATATTGTGAACAGAAGACTCCGGTTCGAATCCGCCGGGCCATGATGGAGAAACTAATTATTATTATTATTACTACAGACTCGAATCTTCTCCGCATCCCAATCACAAGTACTAAAGCGACCAACATTGACAAGGGATTGAATGACCTGATAGCACAGATGGTTAGTGCATCTGTTAATGGTGTCATGGGTTGCATCGATTAAGCAGAAGGTCCCGGTTCGAACCCAGGTCAGATCATTGCTTCTACCTCCCAAACCTTTTCATTATTTTTGCAGAATCAAATCTCCCGTATCTCGATCGCAGGCGACCAACATTTACGGGTATCAATGACCTGATGGCACAGTTGGTTAGTGCATCTGTTGTTGGTGGTCTATTAGTTGTACACATTTCAAGCAGAAGGCCCCGGTTTGAATCCGGGTCAGGTCATGATGGAGAAACTATTTATTTTATTTCCATTTTTACAGACTCAACTCTTCTCGCATCCCAATTGCAAGCATTCAATGTATTGCTAGTAAGGGATCAGATGACCTGGTAGCACAGTGGGCTAGCATCTGTTAGCAGTAACTATCTCCTGCTCTAAGTGGAAGACCCCGGTTCAAATCCAGCTCAGGTCATACTTTGGCAGCTCCATTGTTTTATCATTTTTGCTGACTTGAATTTCTCAACATCCTAATACATAATGCCAGGTACACAAGACCAACATTGGGAAGAGACCAATGACCTGATAGCACAGTTGTTAGTGCGTCTGTTAGTAGTACTAGTGTTGAAAGTAGTGTAAGCAGAAGACTTCGGTTCGAATCCGGCTCAGGTCATGGTACCCCTTCAATGGTTTTTTATTATTATTTTTACAGACTTGAATTTCGCACCATCCATAATCGCAAGTACTCAGTATATCATTGTATTAGAAATCAGTGACCTGATAGCACAGTTGGTGAGTAGCAGTAACCTTGCTCAATGCAATAAGCAAAGGACCTTGGTTGGAATTCGGGTCAGGTCATGGTGCAGCCCAAAATTTATCATTATTTTTAGACTCAAATCTTCTCCTCATCCAATCGCAGGTATCAAGTGACCAACCCTGAGAAGGGATCAAGCAACCTGGTAGCACAGTTGGTTAGTGCATCTGCTAGTAGTACCTTCTCTTTTGATTTTGATTTTGTAAGCAGAAGAACCTAGTTCAAATCCAGGTCAAGTCATGATTTTTCTTTTTCCTCCATGGTGAAAATTTCTCAAAGGTACTCAAAAAGTGAGATAATCATAGTTTGCACCATTAAAATTGTGAGACTCACTTGAACCATCATTCGAAAACCCAGAAAGGGTAGGTCTACGACCTCCCCAAATTCCAGCTAGTGCACTTCGTCCCCCCACACCGCCACACCACGCACTACCGCCCGCTCCCAGTCTCCTTCTGGGGCATCACCATCCAGCCGGAAACAACAGCAAAGCTGCTTGGAGTTGTTCTCAACCACAAGCTGTCCTTCTGCAGCCACGTCGAACTCGCGCACAGCCGAGGGACGAAGGCTATGCTTGCGCTCTCGTGCATCTTGTCCCCCACCTTCGGCCTCCTGCACTCCTACATCCAACAGCTCTTCCAATCTGTTGTTGTCCCACGAATGGAGTACTTTACCGACTTGTATGGTAGCAACGTAACACATAACGCTGCCCTCAAAATGTTGCCTAATTCGCTGCGTAACACTCAAATTCTCAACTTTTCGGACCCGATTTAGCAAAATTTCGGCCCCGCGGGGCATCATCTTTCCATTTTAGGCAATTCCAGTTCCAAATAAGGTAAGTGGTTGCTACATCATAACCTGAATTTTTCGTAACGCTCCTCGGACGGTTGTTACCATACAAGTCGGTACAGTACGCCCTCCTGGTGTGGTACAAACCGGTGTCTGCCAACACGGAGGCGCAACGCACAGGGACGGTGTGGGTTTCGAAAGCACTGGGGAAAGTTCAACGGCTCGCATGCAAGGTCATCACCGGGGCGCTATGCACCACAGCCACCAACACACTGGACTTCCATGCAAACCTCCTCCCCGTCCACATCCGCCTAAACCGCTCTGTTTTCCACGCCGCCACCCGCCTCGCCACCCTCCCATCCTCGCACCCCCTCCACCGTGTCTTCAGTCGCTGCTGGCGCATCCCCCGCTACCACCGCTCCCCCATCCATCACCTCCTCGGCGCCTTCCTCCTCCTCAGCTGCACCATGGAAACAATCGACCCCCACCACATCATCGCTCCAGCACCGCTGGGCTTGCTCTTGACAAGGATTGCACCAGACAAGGACATTGCGCAGGTGGAGATGGAGGTGGTGAGGCGGCGGAGAGGGTTCTGCGTGTATACAGATGGCTCAGGCTTTGAAGGAGGGGTGGGGGCAGCAGCGATCGCGTGGAATGGAGACAGGGAAGGAGCATGCAGGACGAAGCACCTGGGCACCATGGGTGAGCACACGGTTTTCGAAGCGGAGGTGGTTGGTGCTATCCTCGCATTGGACATTGTCAAAGGCACCCCGCGGCTCACCAGTGTCGACATATTCACCGACTGCCAGCCTGCCATCACTGCAATCACTAATCCGCGCCCCCAGCCAGGTCAACACCTCCTTGCCCTCTTCCACACCCTCCACCACCGCCTACTCCACGCCCGCCCCACCCTCGAGGTGCGGTACCGGCACACATCGGGATCGCCGGGAACAAAGCAGTTGATGCACACGCGAAGGAAGTGGCCCAAGGCACCTCATCCACCCTCGCATCTAGGATCATTCTCTTTGAATCCCCTCTCCCGACGAGCAGAGTGGCAGCAATGAACGCAGGCAACAAGGCATTCCAGGCGCAATGGCTGGCAGAATGGTCTGCGTCCCCACGCTTCCGGCGCATCTCCCTCTTTGACAGTGCCGTGCCGAGGATTGCAGTTGCGCACGCATACAATGACCTGAGCCACCTGCAGTGCAGCATCCTCACCCAACTACGCACAACACACTTCGCGTTGAACACCTACCTCTATCGCTTTCACCTCGCCCCCTCCCCCGACTGTGACCTCTGCCTCGTCCCGGAAACTGTCCCACATTTCCTCATCTCATGCCCCCGCTACCGCTGCAAATGCCTCAAGCTCATCCTCAGTCTTGGTATGGCACGCCTCTCGCTCCGCCGCCTCCTTGCCGTGAAATCGGATCCCAAACCGGTACTCCGTTTCGTTCGTGACACCGGCCGCTTTCCCTGATACGTACTCTAGATATAGATATCTTTTTCCTCTTTCTTCCTTTCTACTTATTTTGCAGAATAGATTAGACACCCTGCCCTGCCAAAACTCATACACCACCCTCACAGCGTCTTCCCCGAGCCCACCCTTCCTCTCCCCCACCCTCCCCATACCAGCTAGTTGACTTACATGTATTATGTATAGTGCTACATAGGCCCCAAGGGGCCCGCGCGCACTCTAATGGAAATTGGAATGAAATGAAATGAAAGGGTTGATTAGATATTTATTTTGACTTGAAGAAGTATCATCGCCACCTTTACGAGAGATGAACTTTCATGAAGCTAATTGCACGGTTAATTAGTACATCTGCAGAAGGGAAAACACATATAATGAACAGAATACCCAGGTTAGAGTTTCAGTCAGATCCTGTTTGTGATGGAATACCATTTCTTTTGAATCAAGCACTGGCAAAATAGAACAGCCTGATTTAATTCAATTTCACTTCCCATTTGTGCAATTTCCTTGCTTTACAGGTTTTGTAACAGCTTCCAGCAGTTCGGCAAAAGAACACACCATCAAACTTTGGCTTGCTCTCACTCCTTCCAAAATTGACAGGCAGAATGTTCATTTTACATGGGTTGAAACCATTCGGTGATCTCGGGCATGCTCAACATCACTGATCGGCACAACCAATGGAAAAGCCAAACTGTGGAACGAACACATGAATCCTTTTCATTCAACGGTGCAAAACTGCCTCCTAGTCCTTTGGAGTCTATTTCCTGACTTAGACAACCTTGCAGCAACCTCGTGTGTCCGTCTGTCTTATACTTTGGACCGCCTGTCATTTCTACATCTCTTTCCTTCGTCCTCTGTGACCTCTATCCTCGGTTGACTATAGCATAGATCGCTGCAGGGCTCCTTGGTGCTGCTGTAATGACTGAGGCTACAACACTTGCTGCTGCATCTGGTTTTGCCAGACAACATGGAAATAGTCTTCAGATAGAGATACAAGAGAAGAAGAAAAAACTGGGATGGTCTCATGGTAAACCTCCAGGGCGGAGAAATCACACAGGATAAGGAGAGAGAGCTCTTGAAGACCAGAGAAGAATGCGGAACATACAATTTTTCAGAATCGAGGACTGACACTTGGTAAGGGCAATTCGTATGGAACAGGAATACGACGAAAGTATCACACTGCTCCCTCTGGAGCTGAAACCAAGCCATGTCGTCAGAACACAGTGAATTCAATTTGTCAGAGGTATAGGTAGCTACTAGGGCTCAACTCTGGTTGGTTCTTCTACTGAGTACCTCAGATGAACTGATACTGTGCATGTAATAGGGGAAGTCAGAGATCATTTCTTAGACCAATTAATGAGTCAATTCTGGGTTCTGAGAATCAACAAGAATCGGACTCAGCTTTGACCGCTCCAATTCTCAATTGTTTATGTTGCTGATTATTTTGGGCCATTTCAGCACCAAGAATTGATGTGCTACAGCAAGTACCCGTTTGATCAACAATCAATTTTTTTGTGCGACTCTGGAGTCGCTTCACCAATTCTGTCGATTATTTCAGAATCAACGATTCTGGGCAATTCTTGAACAAATAATTGAAGCTGGAATTAATCAGTCCCCAGAGTCGATCTTTGACTTCCCTTAATGCTCTGTTTGGCAATGGTCCCTCCAGATGCTGGCCGGCGATCTTAACTGAGAAACCCTCCCCCCAAAAATACCGAGAACCGGGTTTTTATATCAGGGGAGGCTCTGGCTGCAACCGTCGGGCTTCTCAATAGAATTATCCTGCTCATAGCATACATACAGTTTTAAACCAGGGAGTGAAACACCCGCGCTCTGCGACATTTTGCACGTTCAATAATGGCTTGGGTGCCTCAGATCTTTGTTCTAAGTCCATTTTATAGTTTCTGGGCTACATGCCAGTGGTATGAATCACTGCATTTGGTGGTGCTGCTGTTGAGAACGAGAACATTCTTTCTCGGAGGCCAAATAACAGCGAAGCAAAACACTTCAAATTCACTTGATTTGCCCTGGTGTGGGAAATTGTGGATTGGGGACCTTGATAATTGGAATCATAGACCCTGGAAACCAGTGATCGCCCAAGGCCCAAGGCCTTAAAACTCCAAGCCGCAAGTTCTGCCCTTGGCCAAGCCTTAGAGCATCACATGTATATCATTATGTCATTTTATTTTTCCCGTCTTTTCTTCTCCGTCAACGACGGCATCCAGTGACGTGCAAACCAGTACGCTGAAGCCGTAACATGCCAGTTGTTCGGGCCGTATGCGCACTTCAGAGTTTGGTTGAACAAATAACGCGCTAATCGGCACCGACGTATCGCTTGCGTGTTCTCTTCTTCGCTGCCCATCCTGCTACATTGCCGCTACAGCTGTCTCGCTATATTGTTCCCTTCTTCATCCCAGGGTCATTGAAGAGGAAGAGATCTTGATGCAGGCACTGGCAGACAAAGAGGAGGGTGCACGCCACGACGACGGCGCCATTGAGATTGACTCGGATGAGGCATATCAGCAGATTTAAAGCTTAAATTTATTGTTTTTGATACCGCCTGGATGCGTGGGAAAAATCAGCCAAGGCCTTGAAGATCCTGAGACCTCCAACCAAGGCCTTATGGGCGGTCACTGCTGGAAACACCCTTGTCAAGACTGTTGGAAATACGGTGATCACGGGAGTGCGCAGGACAAAAGGGTTCGTCTCGCTTGCCTGGGTAGAGGAAGTGTTGCTCTGAGGGCAACCGAGTGAAGTATTAAGCAGTAGCTAGTACAATATCTGTACTATGTACTACAGAGAGTGTCCGGAATATATGTGGACCCGGTGGTTAGCGTGAGTAGCGGGCATGTCTGGGTACGATGGCTAACGTGGTAATTGGCTATGTAGTACTCGAACTTACTCAGTATTAGTCAATATTCCAACAGAGACTCTACACATCTGTCTGGGAAACATGCACCAAATAATGGGGAAAATAAAACTG